GGAAGATCGGGTGAAAACACTGAAAATCATGAAGTATTCAGGAAAACTTCGAGGCCGATCTGAAACTCAACATAATCCAAAACGAACGAGAAATGTAACTTAAAACAACGGAAAAACGCTCCCTTCTTAAACACAAAATGTTATGTTTACGATCACACCTGTCACTTCTATTGAAATTTATTAGGCCCCGACCGGCCTCATAGCACGTCACCTTATGAAAACGTTTGTTCCTACGACGCCCTCATCGGTGAACTCAAGCAAAATCCATCTTCTCTTGGCGAACCCAATCTCATTTGCATCAAAGAAATAAAAGTAAATCCTAAACAGTGGAAAACTGTTTTGGAATCTACACTCAAAATGTAGGCAGTTGACAAACCGCCATATATGAAATCACACCCTTATTAAACGATATTTAAATGTTAACTTTACTAAGGCACTGTTATTAGACGTCATTTTATGTCTTCTATCATATTTGCTATATTTTTGGTATAACAATACATTCTATACATTGAAAAACGAAGTTTACTAAATTAGAGCCATTTCTGACGTTTTTGGGATATGGAAATTGCGAACTCCACGTCAGGTCGGTATACATGATGCACAACCACATCTGTAACCGGACGTTGGTGTCTGCATACCCAAGATTCCGCCGCCTTGAAGGCGAAGTCGGCCAAGGAATTCTCAAAATGATTTCTCAGATAGGGCCTTGTACCGTTCGGCTGAAGGTTTCTTTAAGAAGTAAGCCTTCTCTTTAAAACCAGTTCTGTAGGTTCACATGGGATAAACTACAAAATGAAGGACCTTGCAAACATGCAAAGGGGCCTTTTTAAATCTGTTCCAGAAATCGAAATCTCCATTTTATTATGTACTAGCCGGACCCCGCCACGCGTTGCTGTGGCTCAATCTGATGAATTGGGGAGTAAGGGAAAAAGGAAGGAGCACGTTCCCAATTAAGAAAAATGTAAGGGCCACTGGTTGGCGGTACGTATTGTATGCGAAACCCAGGCTTGTCCATCTAGGCGCTGTCAAAGGCAGGGCAATTGTTTGCTGCACCCAGTCGCGTTCGAGAATTCCGGAGTAAGTGGTGACGGCGGGCATTTATTTCGTCCACCGGTGTCGATCGAGACAGTGGTGGCTTGAAGTCTCCAGCAAGCAGTAGCAGTGCATCGGAAATGATCTGCTGTTTCCTCGCAAATCCTGCAGCGTTCGGTCAGGGACCTCGAGCTCTTTTTTGCGCTATCGTGCATTCATCCCAAAGAATAGGTTTGCATTTCTGCAGTACTTTTCCTATACCGGATGCTTTGGAAATGTTATACGCGGGAGTTTCAATGAATTGCGCATTCAAAGGCAATTTCGAAGCTGAATGGACGGATTTTTTGCCAGGTAGCAGAGCTGCAGCTATTCCGGGGATGCAAGTGCTAGGGCTATGTCATTTATTGAATCGAATTGCCGGCAGAATCGGTCGCAGTAGGAACGTTTTGCCAGTCCCTCCTGGCGCATCTTAGAAGAAGATTCCTCCAACCCCGTTACTGACATTCCGCAGTATTTGATCGTAAGTGCCTTTCTGCTCCAGTTTTACCTTGTGAATGTTTGATTGCAAGCATGGCAGAAGTTGAACCGTGTTTCATTTTTGCTCATGGAGCCAATCCACATCTAACGAAGCAGCAGCAGATTGGTTTTGCGGCGACATTCGCAGTTGATAAAGAACTTTGTTCGCGATTTCGACGTACATATCCTCAATCAATATTAACCCCTCGCTGTAGATTCCTGCTGTGCAGCCTACATTTGAATTTTCCTTGCATAGTTGACGGAAGGTATCTTCAGCCATCTGCAAATTCTATTTCTCCGGTAAATCCGTTGGAGATGAGGAGAGAATGCGGTCAATATGACTGCAAACAATGCATGAATTTAATGTGGATGGGACGTGTTGCAGGCGTCATTAATACATACGTCCCGCTGTTGATCGTTATCCAGTAACTGAAAAGCCTGACACACATTGCTGAAAGTGGCATGCGTTGGCAGATTTCAATTGCTGGAAATAGGTTGGACCGGGCGCATTCACCAACACCATGCGAAGTAATATTGGGATGCACGGTATGCAGTCTGCCAATCGCAGTTCCTTTGAGTATGCAGGGGTTTCCGTCCACTCGCTCTCCTCGTTTGCGTTGTTCGGATGATTTTCTACGCACATTCCCTGTGTAATGCGTAAGCACTTCCGAATGCGGCAGTGGTTTCGCAAACGCGTCACTTTGGCTGAAATTGGTGAACGCAGTTGATATTGTTGCCAGTGGACCTAAGGCAACTTGTTGCGCATTTTGCATCGGTGAAGTAAACGCACTGCCCATTCTCTAACTGCACTGCAAGCGAACAACACCTGGACTTCGCTCATGGATGGGGAATGAAAGAATTCGCCACATGGATTTCTTGCCGTTAACGCATTTTCCAGCCCAATACTGTGCGATTTCATTGTGTTGTATGTCCGCATCCCTTTATCTCATTTCTTGTTGCAGGCCGAAAACGGGCATGTCACTGCCTTTATTCAAGTACTTACAAATCTACCTAATGCATTTCTCAAAATTGTAGTGTTCCACGTTAATGAGAGCTGCGTTTGCTTTTAAAAGCAAAGGCGAATACGAAACAACCCAGCGGTTACCGACTCCTCTGTCACCGATTCGCATTCGTACAGTTGCCAATTTGTCGATGTCTTCCGCTGATCATTTTCGGTATAAGTGACTTCCGTCTATCATGCCGGGGGGGGGGGGGGTTGGAGGATTGGGATTCACTGCATCTTTGGTCCATGTAGCATATTCTTCGCCACAACTTTATGCAAATCATTGTTGACGTCGATATCAGATAATTCGGCGCATACTACGTCGTCGTTTTCGTTGGAGGCGATCTTGTTATAGAACCAGATCAGGACATGTGCATGGGGCAGTCCCCACTTTTGCCGTTCCACCTAATACATCCAGCAGCGCACAGACCCAACCACCTCGTGTTTCACCATGAAGTTCATCAGCGATTTCGGTATTCTGCAGGAAAACATGTACTCTGATGTCATACCAATTCACGGGCGATAACCCGAGAAGTGAGAGCTGAAAAATATCCCCCCCCCAAGCAGGATTGCATGTGAATGTAAAGAGTAGGTTTGGACGTCCGTACTGACAAACAAAAGGGATTGCACCTCCAGCGTACCCGGGCGTACGGCGTGAACTGTCTGTGTATGTGGAGGACAACTGAATGTGTATTACTGTCGTTTACAACTGCATCATCCAAAGGAATATATTCTTCAGAGCGCAGTTTGGTCGGATGCAAATCAGTGAAAAGCGGGCGTCCTGTTTCTATTTCGCATGCGTATTCACAGCAGTGATGAAGCAAATGACGGCAGTTCAAAAGGGGTTTACTTACATTCCGTCGAAGCTTAAGTCGGAAGGAGTGGTAATTCATTCCACTAAATTTTGCGTGTACTTCCTCGTCACTGACTGAATTTATGATCTTAACGTTGAAGTGATATCCAATGGCACCATCCCGAAAAGTAAATGGATACTGTGTTAAAATCGGTATTGTTCATTCTGTTGCTGAACTAAGCAGGCCCGAAGCTGCAAAACGCGGTAACCGTGACCGCAACCCGGCTTCCGCAAGCCGAGCTGCACAATACTGAGCTGACATTGGGCGACAGCCCTATTATATGGGTTGCGCCGGGTGGTGGGGCTGGTGTTAATTGCGTCCAGTCCTCACCCTCAAGATTCCCAGAGTAAGCGGTGACGGCCCTATTATGTGGACTGTGGGACAATTTTAAGTGGCGTCCAAGTGTTGCGTGTTTTTTGCCCCAGGGGTGGTTTGCTTCGGCGGCCCATATCGCAGCGGCCCAGAGAGGGTGGAGGGCCTGCTCAAGTGCCTGCAGGGTGGCAGGTGGGGTAGGCACGGCCGTCGGGTGGAGCAAGTGCGTTTGAGCGAATGTTGGTCAAGTAGCTCGGCGGGTAGACTTGTGGGCACCAGCGGATGTAGGTCAAGTGGCCGCAGCTGGTGGCGTTGTTATGCGGGAAAATATCCAGTTTTTTACCCATCACAGGCAAACCGTCGGCATAATTACACAACTGAACAGCCAAAAACCCGGCCCTATGCGCGGGTCGGGTTGTGTCCAAATTTCAGCGAAATCGGTGCAGTACTTTCGGAGATTAGATATAACACAGAAAAAAACCCTTCCATTTTTATATATATAGACTTTCCATGCACTTCAAGCTTTCAGGCGTAAGGTCACTAGACTCTACTGCAAAGATATAGCTGACATAGCCATGTATTTTGTCAGGAAGGCTGTGAGAACCCTGAGTCTTTCAGCATATAAGTCTGTGATACGGCACATCGAAATTAATTTTCCGGGACTATGGCCCTATCTCCAGGAAAATTGGTTGACTTGTAGGCGTATGTGGGCCCACCATGCGCGTGCGCGTGTTGTAACCTGTGGTGACAATACGACGAACAAGACCGAGAGTCTACGTCGAGTGTTCAAGCAATGCTGCAAGTCTTATATGAGCATGACGGACTGTGTAAACAGTCTGGTGACCTTTCTCCAGTCAAAAGAGGTTGACAATGAGAGAATGGAGGCCGAGGAATACTGCCGTCGCAGGCAGTATAATGATTGCCCCAGACATGTTGCAGCAATATGTCAGAGGCTGAAAACATACGCATTAGATGCTTTTCTTAGACATCTTGATGCAAAGAGAGCGGTAGAGACCAGCAGTGAATGGGTGGACACGTGTATATGTCGGTTCTTTTCGAACTGGGAAATACCATGTGTCCACATAGTTAACTGCATAGCCTCCAAAGCAGCTGAACCGCAGCTCGCCTTAACAAACTGCAGATGGCTTATCGCGAGAGAAGTGGTAGAAGTCGCCAGTTTCAGCGGGAGTCCTGACCCGCGACCAGCCACGATCTTTTTCTCGGACGTCGTTCTAACGACCAATCTGCCTCGCTTTACTGAGGCATACAAGGACCGCGAAGCGATGAAGCGCATAGAACCCATTCTCGAGAAACTCAAGAGGAGTGGCCGAAGGCGCTTCAGCGAACTGCTTCGTAGATTGGATGCCTTCGCCGACGAAATCGTAAACGGTGCGAGTTCTGATTCTCCCGACCAGTCGCCGCTTTATCCCGTGGAGGCGAACGAGGACGAAGAGAACGTCGGCGAGGGTCTAGTTCTTGCGCGATGTCTTATGAGGCGGGAAGGCGACATGTTGTGCGCACACTCAGAGGCTGGGCATCAGCAGCCCAACATTCACGTCCGGGGTCGACCACGTGTCAAGCCGCCGACAATAAGGACGTTTACAGCCAGACGTGGTTCACACTACACTGCTGTAAACTAGCCTAGTTGGTCGACGTCTGGTACACCTCTAGTCCTAAGGTTTGGAAGACGGCGACTGTCGGGCAGTTTGTCTGACCAGGAAAACCGTCCGTTATCAGTCAGCCGGAAAAATTCGATGGGTGGTTCTGAAATTGAAGCAACTAATGGACCCTGCTACGAAGGAAATACAAACGGTTTTTCTTGACAAGAATGTCTGCGAAACACGAGTTTGGAGACATATTTTTCCAGCAATTGTGATTGCTGATTCCTGCCACCAAAGATTATACTGGCATCTGTGTAACAGTAGTCAGTATATCGGGCATTCTGTGTGTTTTCGTGACCTGGACATGCTCGACCGACGATTAACTGCATTCCGTTCTGTGCCGATGTTGTCAGAATAGCAGGTCCTCATGGTTTATTTTTGATCTGAACGTGCTCAACCCCACGTCTAATTGCATTACTGGCTTCTGCGTCTCAGTAATCATGAAAAAGTATACGCCATCGCTGATACAAGAGCTTTATTCGAATAAAGCTATTGTCGGACTTTTCTGATTGCTGCTTGAACATAGACAAAAGCACATAGGCGTGGTTCATGCACAGGAGCTGAAGTACTTTTAGCCATTCGCCATGCTACCGCATACCTATGAGTAATCATGGCTCTCCCCCTTCATCAGAGATCGTTGCATTTTGTGTGTTGACCGTTTGCGTCGTTAATTGCTGTAATTGCATCACGCGTGCTGGATGTTGGTGTGATGATTGCCCGACCATTTGACGCGCTGACCCTGGTGTTGGGAAGAGTGTTCACCAGTGCGCTCCCCGCGTGGCCAATTACTCCGCCTAGGCCAAGTCTCAACATCGAGTATGGAATGTGAAGATCATTGCACTTCTTAATTGACTGGGGGCCAGTGAACCATGACTCAAGCTGCTCCCGGCTCACGCGATTGTCATCTCTTGCGAGAATTTCGGCCTCGTCAAATTTGAATGTGTGGCCGGATCTCGTAGCATGAGCCGCAACTTGAGAGTTAACGTCATTTCGCCGCACCGCTGCAGCGTGTTCTGCCATTCGCGCTCGGAGTCGTCTTCCGGTTTCTCCGACGTAGTTGTTTTGTTAGCAACTGCACCAGATCCGATAAACGACTCCAGACGTTTCTTGCCGTGGCAGTGAGTCTTGTGACTTCATAACCTCATGCCTGATGGTTGCCTCCGGTCTGTGTGCAACTCCAACCCCAAGTGGTGCGAGAAGGCGGCCGACAGCTTCGAAAACGTTTTTGACATATGGAAGCGCTCGCCACGATTTGGTGTCCGTGCGGTTAGGCCTTTCGTCCCTTTTGTGTATGCACTGGCTGACGAAGTTGCGCGGGTAGCCATTGGCTTTGAATACCCGTCGGAGGTATTGTAGTTCGGCAATCTTGTTTTCCGTCTCACTGCAGTGCGTTTCGACACGCCGCTAAAGCGTCGTTACACAACTGCGTTTGTGGGTGTTTTGGTTGTTGCTGTTTAAATTCAGTACTTGCACCGTATTTGTGGCTCTCCTGAACAATTTGGTCTTTAGTGCACCACAATCTTTGTTGCATACCACTGAGCCAGGCACCACAATCTCTTCGTCAGCACAATTATTGAAAAATCTCGTAGGAGTAAGCCTCCATCCAAATGAAGTCATGGAATCTTTTGATGTTACGTCTCTTTTTACCGTCAGGCGTCATGTAATAGAACCGAAAGACCCACTGCCATGGCTAGAAACGTCTGGAGTCGTTTAGCGAATCTGGTGCAGTTATGAACAAAGTAATTACGTCAGAGTAACCGGATGGCAGCTCTGAACGCGAATGACCGAGCACGCTGCAGCGGTACGGAGAAATGACGCCGGCAATCAAGGTGCGACTCATTCGGAGAGATCCGACCACACATTCAAATTCACCGGGACCGAAATTCTCACTAGAGGTGGCAACCGCGTGATCCGCGAGCTGACTGAGTCATGGTGCGCTAGTTCCTAGTCCATAACAAGTTTCGGTCATCAGTCAGTCATCTGCCAAGAGCAACGATCCCTGATATTGGGGGAGGGTCGTGAATATTAATAGGTATGCGATAACATGGCGACTACAGCCCATGAATACTGCAGCCCCGTATCTGCTTTTGTCTCTGATGATGGGTTCGAACAGAAATCCGAAACGTCTGACGAATAAAGCTCTTGTGTCAACGATCGTGTCTCCTTTTTCACAACTGCTTTCTGCGGCTCGTCTCTTCGCTTCTTTTGACTAATTACTCAGTCTAGAAGGCATTCTGGATGTGTTAGTGACTTGAACGTGCTTAACCCCGCGACTAATGGCAATACTGGCTTTTGTGACACATGAATGATGCACGAATGTATGCCCGAATTGCAGTGCCTGACCGATCTTAAGAAGTGTTGGCCGAAATTCCGAAATGCATATTCGGTTAGGAAAGCCTACGTAGTGCGGATGTGGGCTTCTGAATGCACTTCTTTTCAACCCTCTGTAGAAACCACACTCGGTAGAACATGACTACTTTATTTGCATGCATTTTTAAATCATTTTCGAAGATCTTATAAGTTCAAATACATTTTATGGAAAGCATGCACAAAAAGTGATTTCTTTTACTCCTTCCTTAGAAAATAAATTAGTCCCACATCCTGTCGAGTACGAAATGCCGCAGAATAATTCGTACTACAACCCCATCTAAGTAATCTTTCCTAATCGAATATGCATTTCAGAATTTCGACCAACACTTCATGAGATCGGTCGCGCACTGCAGTTCGGGCATATGTTCGTGAGTCATCCCTGCGCACTTCAAGCAGTCTGGTCACAACGCGCGTGCGTGGGTGTGCACATTGTGAGGCACTAACGGACGCGCATCCCAGTACTTTTGCTTCGACCTTGACAGCTGCAGATCTTGCAAATGATCATGCCTAAGGCGGTCTGCTCGTGACAGGCGTGAGTGCGTTCCGTGGCCCAGGCACCAGGAGGCGAGCGGTTGCGCTGTCGCATTCGGCCAGACTGAGTCGCATGGGTGACTCACGATCTCCTGTGCGCGTCCGTTTGTGCGTCTAACAATGCGTGCACCGACGCAGGCGCGTCGTGGCCAGACCCCTTGATGCTTTGTCATGTGCGCGAACCGCAGCTGCACAGATGGGGGCAAAAATGCAGCGTTGCACGTCCGGTAGCGCCCCACACACTGCACACACCCACGCACGCGCGTCGTGGCCAGACAGTTTGACGGAAAATCCTGTGCGCGAACTGCAGCTGTCCAGATCAAAACAGAAGTACGGGAAAGGGCGAAAGTAGGCCCCTCGCACACTGCACGAACGTAGTATGTAGACCGTTTGCCGCGATCATATGCGAGAAATAAGAGCGGCTGCCCTACGGACTCCAGCAAGGATAAAACGCGCACTGAAATTAAAAAAAATGCAGGGACGTCTACGCGGACTACTGGGTCACAGAAGCCAGCAGTGCCCATTGTAGGGGACTTGTGTACGCCAGCTCACCAACTCAGCTAAAATGTCTGTTGTCTCACTGCTGGCTGTGGTAGCACTGGTGGGTGGTAGAACACGCTCATCTCACCAAGTCGCACTGAATACCCGCTAGAATGTCTGTTAGGTCACTGCTGGCTGTAATAAAACTGGTCGGGCGGTTGAGCATGTTCAGCATACCAAGTCGCACTGAATGCCTGCTAAACTGTCTGTTGTGTCACTGCAGCCATTGACCGGGGCAGTTCTAGAAACTATAACTTTCACTCTGTGGGATGTGACTGTTTCGATTCGGCGTTTTCGTCAGTCTCATAGCCCAGGACTTGATGGTGTCCCAGTATGCATTTTAAAAGCCGATGCAAATACGATTTTCCCATCCCTCTGATGCAAGATATTTAATCTCGCTCTTGAAAGTGAAACTTATCACACCTTGTGGAAGGAATCACACATTTTGCCCATTCCTAAGCACGGCCAATCTACATCATTTGATGACTTTCGGCCAATAAACATCCTCCCCGCAGTTTCGAAGACTTAGAGACATTGATCAAAGAGAAGATGATGTTTCACTTTACACAGTATATTTCGATTTCACTATGGCTGTTGATCGTGTTGACCATGCTCTTCTTCTCTTGAAACGGTCCTCTTTCGGAATAGGTGGCAAACTTTTGAATTTTATATCCTCTTACCTGGGCACTCGTAAACAACGAGTTAAGATTTCAAATACTATCTCCAACCCCACACGTGTGAGGAGTGGAATCTATCAGGGTAGTGTACTCGGCCCGCTTTTATTTTGCCTTTTTGTTGATGATGTACCCGATTTATTTCAGAATGGAAAGACTTTCATGTATGCCGATGATCTTAAAGTTGCATATCGATGTAAGCCGGCAGATCATGACATCGTGCTCGAGCTCCTTAAGAGCGATCTACAGGCTTTCGCCCAGTGGTGCCGCACATGGCGCCTTTCTCTCTCCTGGCATAAGTGCTCGGTCATGGTGGTTGGCGACGACCGCCAACCTCAACTAAGTATTGAAGGTCACGCCATAAATGTGCCTGGAATTATTAAGGATCTGGGCGTATCATACTCCAAGAGTCTCAATCTCTCGGAGCACTGTGCCTTGATAGTCTCCAAAGCACGTAGAACGACCGGGTTTATCCTCCGAAACTTTAAAACTAGGGACATTAGAATGCGCCTTTACAACATGTACGTTAGACCTGGCCTGGAATACTGTTCGTTTTTATTTAGCCTCATGCGTGCTACTGAGCGGAAGAAAATAGAATCCGTTCAACACTTTTTTACCAAGAGAATTTTAACCCCGGAACACCGACATTTGTCTTACAAAGAACGTTGCCGGCTTACGGACCTTGATCCTTTATGGTTCCGTAGACTACAAAAGGGACTATTTTTGCTATTTAAACGCTTATACAATCACACATTTAACCCACTCACCTCTTTAAGACATCATATCCACCCACGACGTAACAGTCACCGTGAGGTCTTTTTTTCTGCCTCTGGCACGTACTGTTAAATATCGTCGGTTCTATTC